TTTTTAAAAAACTGCGGTAGAATATATATACATTAGACATGAAGTTTGTCCTTTAACCATGTTTAAGTGTGCAACTCTGTGGCACAAATTACATTCTCAATGTTGTGCAACTGTTACTACTGTCTACTTTCAAAATCTTTTCATGGCCACTAACAAAAGCTCAGAAACCATCGAGCAATAACTCCATTCCTCCGAATCTACTTTCAGTCTCTATGAATCTGTCTAGTGCAGATTCTTTATGTAAGTAGACTCATACAGTGCTTCTTCCTTTGTGTCCGGCTTACTTCAAGAGACATAAGGTCTCTGAGTTCATCCACACTGCGGCATGTATTGGGCCTCCCTCCTCCTCATGGCTGAATCTGCATGTGTTCACAGCATGCACACACCATTTTGTTTATCTGTTCATCCCTTGATAGTCACCTGTGTTGTTCCCACCCTCTGACTATGGTGAGGAATGTGGCAGTGGATATTGGCTTACACCTATCTGTTCCAGTCCTCCCGGCTGATTTTTGCAGGTCTGTACCTAGGAGTGGAATTACCAGATCACAGGGTAATTCTGTTTTCCACTTTTGGGGGGAACCACCAAATTGTTTTCCCACCAGCAATGCAAAGAAGTTCCGATTTTTGCACATCATTTTGCACTTTTTTTTTTCCTAATTAGTATGAAGTAGTACCAAATTTGGGGTTTGATTTGCATTTCTTTCATGACTAATGATGAGGAACCTTTTTCCTTTTTTTGCAGTGCTGGGCATTGAACCCGAGGCCTCATTCTCACATGGCAAGCATCAGGCAAGTTCTTCAACCCTGAGCTACACCTCCAGCCCTAGGAGCTTCATTCCACATGTTTATTGGCCAATTGTGTGTCTTTGTAAAACATTTATTCATATCCATTATTTATTTTTGAATTTTTTTTCCTATTGTTGTTGAGTTGTTGGTCTTTATATTTCTGAATCCTAATTCTTTATCTGGTATTGTTTTTGCAAATATTTTCTCCCTTTTAATAGACTGTCTCTTTTCACTGTCTCCTTCAATGCACAAACACTTTTAATGGTGAAGTCCAATTTATCTGGGTTTTTTTGTTGTTGTTGTTCTTTGTGTGTTTAGTCTTTCTCTCTCTGTCTCTCTCTCTCTCTCTCTCTCTCTCTCTCTCTCTCTCTCTCTGGTACTGAGGATTGAGCCCATTCTTGCTTGTGCTCTTGATGTCATATTCAATAAACCACTGCCAAACCCAGTGTCACAAAGATTTTCTCTACGAACCAGAACTCAATGCTCAGAAATATATGATCCTGATTTTCAGAGAACCAGTTCTTAGTGCCCCTGCTCCCCGGCTCCAGAAAGCCACAGATATGTGGTCTGCGTGTCCTGGGAGAGGGTAGATGTGACTGAGCCAAAGCTGAAGTTCACTAACACGGACCAGCCTCTTCCCAGTCCCTCCTGGGTGCTGCACGGGTTCTGCTGGACCCAGAGTTACCAAATAGTGGCTTCAGAGCGCCTGCCAGGTCAGCTGTGGACCTGATGGAGGATGGACCCCTGGAGCTTCCTGTTCCACATCTTCCCTGATGTCATCTTTAGATAACTAAGTTTTACAGCCAGTAGAAAACCCTGGAAAATTTCACACCAAGACAAGTGTCCATTTCAAGCAACTCACATGGGCAGACTGCACGTGGATTCCACTGACAGTGACGTTTCACAGGTGGGTCCTCACGTGCTGAGGCCCTTGTCTGCAGACAAGAGCACCTCGGTCCTGCCACCTGAGCCCCCTTTCCTCTGTCCTGCTCAGAGGCCATTCTCAGCCCTTCCAGAGACATAGGTTGGCTCTGCCCATGGGTGACCTAACAGATCAGACCACTGTCAAGAAAGCATCTTCCTCCTCCTGAAGGTGAGGAGTGGGGGGAACTCACTTTCAGAATTGAAACAGGAAATTCTATTCCCTGCAGCTAGGATATATTTTCTAGAAAAAAATGTAAACAATGTGCAAAAGTGTGGTTTGGGGCCTATGATATGAATACTTTCTGAGTCAATTCCAAGTCCCTAAGTCTTTGTGAACTGTGGGAAATGCACAACTCATTTTAACACTGAGGAAGAATCTCTAGGCTTCACGGGTTTTGCAGATTATTAACTCATCTGTTTTCCCATCATGAAGCTGCCCCTGCCCCCACCGGCCAACAGAAAGACTCTCATTTAGAAAACACGGAGACTTTCTTTTTAACAAAATTTTTTAATTTCCTGCACTAATATTTGTACAGCTGTAAACTCAAGGAATCATTCAACACTTGTATAATCTGGGAGAACAGTTAATAAGCACCTTCAATGGTTTCCACAGTTTAAGAACTTACCATTTGAAACATTTTAGAATGTCTATTGAAATGAAGAAAAGTTATTATGAAAATCATACAACATCATGTTGAACATTTGATATAGAGGGTTTAATATGGAATGATAAATATAAAAAGAAATTTATTGAGTTGTGCTACATATAAGGTCCATGTGTTCCCCAAATCTTGTGATTCTTGGGGATATAGTTGCCTCTCAAACCCAACTGTATAGAGAAAGCCACCCTCGCAACCCAGGCTCCCAGGTACTGCAGGGCAGGTGAGGACAGAAGCAGGAAGTGCTGAGTGTGCTGGGCCTGTAAGAAAGTGGAATCCTTCCACAGGGAGAATTTCATGCAAAATCTTCCATGTCCTCAGGATAAGCATTCTTTGGCAAAATGTTCCATTTTCTCTTTGGCACTTTTTAAGGATTTTTGTTCTTGCTGTTCCTAAGTCCTCTTCCCTCCCCTTCCTCTGGGGTTCACCTTTCCTGCTCCCCATCCATCTCTTTGGCATTATTTAAAGGGGCTAGTTACTGCTGTTCTTGAATCCCCCCAACATTTCCTCTCGGATGTTCCTTTCCTGCTCTCCCTCAGTCTCTCTGTGGTGCTTTCCACTGAGTCTTCTCTCTGCCCTTGCTCTACCCTCTACCAACTCAAACTCCTTATGCTCAACTTTCAATCCAAAATTTCTATTGTTTTAGGAATTTGGGAGACGGTTGGAAAAAAAAGATGAACATTAATTACTCATATGGTCAGGAAATTTTTTTTTCACAAAAAAATTGTAGAAACATAAACATGAAATGAAGCAATGGTCCCTTGAATTAGACCAATGAGAAATTAAGGGGTCTGAACTATTAATATAAACTCTCAACTAGATCTTCCTGGATTGTGTCTTTAAGTAAGAATACACACAGCAAGAGGCACAGATAGAGAGAGAAACAAAGAAGTGAGTTGGTGGTTGAGAGTATATTGGTTCTCAGGCATGGAGGACAGAGATGAGGTGCTGTGATGGGTCACCCGGAACCAGTCCCAGCCTGTGCCTCAGACAGGTCTCCATGAGGAGACAGAACACAGGTACCAGCAGTGGCACTGAAGACTAGCACAGCATTAGTGATCAGAGACTGAGAAGCAGGTGCTTTGGGCAGAGAGAAATAATTTGGTGATCTTTGGTATAATTTAAGGCACATGAACATAATCCCCTATCCCCAAACATCTGATTCTACATCTTAAAATTCCTACCTCAGAATACCTTTCAATTTAAGCCTTTGACTACCAAAGACTACTGCTGAAATGCCAATGTTTTATCCAGGGGGTGCTACTCATTATCATCTACTAAATACCTGTATGTTCTTAGGATGGTGCAATTAAAAGGCAGAGCACACACACTACAGCTGTCACCTCAGGTAGGATGAAGGGGCGAAAAAGATGCGAATAAAGAAAGGAAGCCTGTGAGGGCTTTCTCCCTCCTTTCCTTCCTCCCTCCCAACCTCACCTAGGAAGGCCCTGGCTGGTGTGACAAGGAGCTGCCAGGATGGTAGGTGGCTCAGAATCAAGGCTGAGCTCGTAAGGCCACAGAACAATGGACCACTCAGGCCTGTGAAGAGTCTGCTCACCCTGGGGAAAGGACTTAGGGCACTGGATGGCACCTAATTTTGAGCTGGGCTCTATGAGCTCATCTGAGTGTTGGGGTCAGGGTGGGTGATCCTGTCCTCGTGCAGAGATTTCCCACTGCAGAAGTCCAGGGTGTATGTTCTAGTGAAGAATGAGGGGAAAGTTGTTGCTTAGGCTTGGCTAGCCTGGGCCCAGTGGTCAGTCAGCTGGAGGGCAGTTTTCAATCTGGACCAAGTAGTTTCAAGTAGGGTGCTGCTGTGAAATACTTGGATGGGGATAAGACACTCTGATCTTCATTTCCGCTCTATACAGTCAACTCCCAGAGTGTTGTCAGGGCAACGACAGGTCCTGCTCCCCGGGGTGGCCAAGCAGAGGTGGGTGCAGCCACCATTGTTCACCGAGCAGTAGTTGTGACCTGGAAAAGGCAGAAATCAGGTCTACAGCCTCCTCTTTGACCTGACTTGACAGCCATTTAAGAGAGAGGCCTCTCTCTGAACCCCTTTTGGGTTTCCCAAAGGCCAAGCTCATGAGGGATCCAGGGGAAGAGGGAACACTGGGCCTAGCACTCAGCTAAAGCTGAGCTAGTTATTATTCCCTCATGGTTACACCACATGGGTAAGAGCACAGATTCCTAATTTGGCAGCTATGCATATTCATCGCTGAAGTTATTAAATAGGCCTCATGGAGGATTCGCAACTCCAACTTAGAGCTGGAATTTTAAAGTACAAAGTGCTTGCAGTCTAGCTGGTACACCAGTCTCCACTTGGACTGGGCAAAGGAGGGAAGTGGAGGAGGAAATGGGTCAGACCAAGGGCTTGGAGAAGCAGCACAGCACAATCTGGGGAGCCAGGCACCTGGAGCTCCCTGTGGCTCTGCCACTGTGAGGGAGCAGGTTGATTTTAAAATGAGCATAACAACAGTGCCCACTGCACAGGGCTGCCAGGAAGACTGAATGAAGGCTGAGTTGTGCACAGGAAGTGCCCCGCCCACAGCACACACCACGCTGAGTTTGCAATTCTTCTTGTTATTATTAACTACTGCTGCTGCTGTCAGGTCAAATGGGCGAAGACTCAAAGCTGCAGAGATCCTAACATTAAGGTTCCCATTTGGAACCTGAAGGCCAAGCACCTCCAGGCCCAGCCTGAGACTCAAGACTTTGCCCGCCATGTCCATTTCTCATCTTTTGTTTGTGTCTGGCTCACCACTCAGTGATAAAGAACCCTGGAGGGTGGAACTGCAGCTCACCCATCGCGGGATCAGGCTACCAGCAGATGTGACAGCCATGATGTAGGCTATGAGGATCCCCCCAGCCCCCAGGAGCTTCAACATGGGTGCGTTACCTTGGGGACACTGTGACAGGGCGGTGGTGATGCCATATAGCCGGGTCTGCTTGTGGGGCTGGAAGCTATCCGTCTCTCTGGAAATAGCAAGATCGACAGCGACTACGGAATTCCTACAAAGCACGGAAGGGAAGAGGTTGAAAAACGTATCTGGTGGCTTGACCTTTCCTCCACCGGGCAGCCTCTGTGCAGTTTAGGGAAAAATTGGAGTCCATAAATAGACACGGGGGCCCTAGGCATCCCTCCCTCCCCTTGGGAGTCAAGACTGCATTTCTTTGACTTCTTAAAGGCAAAAATTAGCTCACTCCTTCCTCCCACACTAAATTTTGGGAGAGACCTAGTAGCTATACACAGGCCCTTGCCAGTCACCTCCTCGAGCTAACCCTCCAACTGTAGGAAGTGGTGGTCAAGAAGAGACAAGGATATTGCAGTTTGAGGACTATAATGAGGCAGGCCTGGAGCCCCCCAGCTAAGTGATCTTGGGCCAGCTCCTGAGAAAGAACAGACACACTCAGGAAATCCAAGTTTATAGATCTGAGGTGCCCAGCTAGGGGCATCCAGATGATATATGCCCTCCCCCGTTCTCCCCAGAGTCCTGATCTCCCTCCTCCACCCTCCTCTGTCACAACCAGAAGGGTGACAGTGAGAAGGCATCTCTAAAGGCTCAAAGATCAAGTCAAGAGGCCAGAGGGAAGGGCCTGGTCTCCCAGAGACAGGGTGGGACAGCAGGCCTGCCCAGTCCCCATGGCCACAGTGGACATACGTCTTCCAGTCTGTGTAATACAGATTCTTCCCATAGCTCGTCACAGCGAAAGGATACTGGAGCCCTTCGAGAACCCTGCGTCTGCTGGGCTGACCCGGGTTCAGGCATTCTGCCTGATGGGTGCCTGTGTGCAGCAAAAACAAGGCGGTCATTGTTCATGCAAGAAATGGGCCCTTTGTGTCACAAGACGAGACCAAGGAGGGCGAGGGCCGGAGACGCTCTGTGCTGCACGGCCAAGTCCTCAGGAACACGCACAACTTGCTCTCAACACGTGGTCGTCCCTTCCTCCCACCTTGCCCCTTGGTCTGTCACCACCCCTGTGTCCAGGCACCCACACCTGGTCCTGCTGGGGAGACATGAGCCAGGGCAGAGGAACCATGCCTCAGGCACCCTAGGCTTTCCTCCTCTGAGGAGGGGGCGACATCCTCCAGCTCCTGATCAAGTCCCTGCTCCCTGGGTTCAGCATGCTGGGGGGTTGCTGCTGCTCAGCAGCTGTGTACAGCCTGCACTGAGGCCTCACACGCCGGTCAGAGGCTGCCTTATCATCTCAGAGTTTATCTCACCCCCTTGTCTCAACCAGACAGGTCAAGTCCCACTGTCTCTGCATCCCCTGTGCACCTGACAGTGTAGGGAATGGAGAAGGAACGCAACAGACTTTTACAGACAGGGACATTCCTCCCTAATCGGCAACCTGCCTATATCCCTATCCTGAGGGACACCCCACATCTGCCAAAGCAGGGCACACTGCAGGGACCCCATGGGGGTTGCTTTCCTTGTGTCTTCCTGGGCTCAACGTTGCATCTAAGCTCTTGGGGACACGAGGGAGCTATGGGCACTATGCAATGCCACTTAGAACAGGGGACAGCCAACCTCTGAAAGGACAGATAGGTTCTGTGAGCCCAGAGGCAAAATCGAGGGTGGCACTCAGGTGTTTATATAACCATTTAAAATGCAATGTTTTACAATATAAAAGCCATTCAGAGCTTCCCGTTATATAAAACCAGGCAGCGGGTCAGCTGGCCAACTCCTGCCTGAGATCAAGGATGCTCCCAGAGTCAAGCTCCCGTCACCTGCATCCACCCAGCATAGCTGGGAAGAGAACACATCAAAGGTCAGGCCGTTGGGCAGGCCCAGATCATCCTGCACAAGGATCCTCCGGTTGGTGCCATCCATGTAGGAAGTTTCAATTTTGGGGCGGTCTCTGTTCCAGTCTGTCCAATAAAGGTTCCTGGCAGAGGAAAAGGAAGGGAAAGAGGAAGAGGAAATATTGAAGACATTGAGGGAAAAGTTAATAAAAAATGCTTTTAAGGAACCTGAAGACAAGAGTGGCAGACAGGAAAACAGAACGCCTACACAGGATCTGGAGGGGTGAAGAAGCTTTTCCCTGTGCAAGGACCCTTGGACCTAGTGCTCCTGCCTCGGACTTAGTTATTCAATTATCAAATTCAGTTCCTTTTAACCTAAAGGACATATCTCAAAAGAGCTATTAACAAAACAATGCTCTGTAACTGGCATAAACACACGACGGTACCCAGCATGCTGCCGTCACACAGGAGGGCACAGCAGACCCAAGGGACTGACTAAGGCAAGCAGGTCACCCATTGTAGGCCCACAGATATCCTGTACTCAAGTCAGGAGAGCAAGGCTGAGTTAGAACCTCACATCAGGGAATAGCCAAAGGACCAGACAGAGTAGATGCACACACATATTTACACAAAGATACCCTCTCACGGAATCCGTCACAATGCCTCTTGGATTCACCAAATCCGTCTCAAAAAGCACCCGGCGCTGTGTGCCATCCAGCTTTGCAACTTCTATTCGATCCAGGTGGGAATCGGTCCAGAAGATGTTGCGGCCAAGATGGTCAACGGCAATACCTTCTGGGCTTCCCAGATCTAGAACCAAAGATGGAACTTCTGGGATTGTTTTCTTCTAAGCAGGTGAGATTAGACTTTTCTTTTTCTTTTGCAGCACTGACGATCAAACCCAGGGCCTTGGCCATGCTAGGCAAATGCTCTACCACTGAGCTCCGTCCCCAGCCTAAGATTTTTTGGGGGGAGGGGGTATTGGAGATTGAACTCAGGGGCAATTTATCACCTAGCTACATCCCCAGGTGATTTGCATTGTATTTTGAGATAAGGTCACGCTAAGTTTCTTGGAGCCTCGCTAAGATGCTGAGGCTGGCTTTGAACTTTCGATCCTCCTGCCTCAGCCTCCCAAGCCCCTGGGATTACAAGATCAGCCTTCTCTGATTGCTCAGTGCTGCTCCACAGTGCATCCAATCCTTGCACTTTTGAGAAACCAAATGGAATGTGAAATGCTTGTTGTTTATAAGATAAGCAACTCAAAGCAACAAATGTGAGAATGCCCCTCATTCTCTCCTTGTCCATTCCTGTGTGCTGCCCTGAGAAACAGGATGGTCACCGACTACTAAGCTATGGCCAGGCCATTAAGTAGACCACAGCCAATCACAATTCAGACTGAGTTACTGAGACCATGGAGAAGAGACACGGGACCCAGCCTGCAGAGACCAGGAAAGCATCCCTGGGGGCAAAGACACCTCTCAACGCTGGCTCCTGAAGGACCAATGGGAGTCTGTCAGGCAAAGAAGCCAGGTAAGTGTTTCCAGGTAGTGGGCAGCACACAGGCATCCAGGAAGACTGGAAAAGGCTTGACATGGACAGTGTGTCATTTTCTATGGCTGGAGACCGCGAGGCTGGGAGAGTGGCTAGAGACACAGAGAGGATGCCTGGGCGGTGAGCTCAGAGCTCAACTCCCAGGTAAAGGGAGGCAGGGGACGGTCTCAAGGTGGTGACAGACAATGGATCTTCCTCATTAACTATGCGGACCAAGGCGTTCAGGGAAACTGTACTTTCATACAAGCACAAGGGGTATCAAAAAGTGCTGCCAGTGACTATGAATAACACCCACTGTCTTCCTGGACCCCAGCTGCCATTTTGTCACTGCACAGCAAAGTCTTCACAGCAAGCCTGCAGCACTTGGTCCAAAGGTCAAGTTTCCTATGGTTTTCTGACTATAAATTTTTTTGAAGTTAAAAAATGACATTGTGGGATTTATTGGCACTCTAGGTTCTCCCCCTGAATGGAGGACAGAGGGTCCCTGAGCATGGCTGGGGTGTAGGCAGGAAGGGGAAGAGGCTGCTCCCCCTGGGGTAAGAGAACCATCTAGTACCATGTTGCCTCCTCTGCGTATGAGGGATGGCCCCTCAGCCCCTCTGGATCAGCCTCACTGGGCCCAGCACGGCAGTGGGCCACAAACTCTGGAAACATCAAGCTCTGGGAAAGGAGCCCTCAGCAGAACCCACACTCCCACACCATCTCTATTACTATTCATACCCAAAGGAGCGCTCTGGATCTTCCCCACGCCCCTAGAGGCCAAAGGACAGCGAGAGGACCCTCTGGCTTCCAGAGGGAACCAGAATAATCCATTCTGTGCACAGGAGGAATGAGGGCATCGGGTGACAGATGTGGGCTGCCCACAACAGTGTCTTCACAGGCACCAGGGGAACCCCTGAGGGAGCTCCACGTCCGGTACACAGCCAGGTCCTGATCTCAAACCAAGAGCCGTAAGCCTCCCTCCCCCACCCCGAAGACGCTGCTTCATGGATGGTTCTTCTAAAGGAAAGGCCTGGAGAGCCGGTCCCCTTTTGCACAGGCAAGGTCACATGTCCCCTGCTGCTATGTCAAAAGGAAATGGAAGATTACGCTTACTGAAGATATCAGGACTTCAGTGTGGGGAAAGAAAGAGACACCCTGGATTCAGACTGTACAAAATCAGGGGGGAAAGGGATAATGCCCAGGACCACCCAGACTCCCAAGGGAAGCACCCGCCTTGTCACACCAAGGAGTCCACTGGACGTTTCTTTCTCCTTTTGGTTTAATTCTGTGCTTCTGCAGTTAAGTAGGCTTTTGCCTGGAATGTGCTTGAAGCTTTCTTGGATGATTATCAGCTCCAAAGGCAACAGGAAATAGCAGAAGATGACCTACTCCCCTCATCCACTGGATTTTGAACTTGAATTGTAGATAATAGGAAGAGCTTTTCAATAGAGATAACAGGCAAAAGGGCATTTTCAAATCTCCAGCTCCTTAAGCCAGAGCAGGAACACTAGCAGACATCATTTAATAGCCCATCAGTTTCCAGAAAAGGATTTAGGGTCCAAGGGCAAAGCCAGGCAGAGTCAACTCAGACTCAGTTTAATTCCTGCTGCATGGTCTCTGGGGAAGGCCCTGAGGAAAGGAAAGCATGCCCCAGGGGCAGCTCCACAGACATAGAACCCTTCAGAACATCATCTGTGAGAGAATCTTGAACCTAGAAGTTGAAGAAGCCACACTCAGTCCCAAGGGAAAAGAAACACAACATGAAGCCTCTGTCCTGCAGAGATGAGTCTCTGAATATTTACAGAGGAGCAAGAGTGTTTTCTACAACAAATAACACCAAAGGTGGTGTCTTTTGAGTAAGAATATTCTCGAGGCAACCGACGAGGAGGCATAACTTAAGCAACGCATGCTTCTTGACAGTTTTGGTTCAGAGGAATTTTTACAGATCCTGGGATTTTTGTTATAGATATGTAAAACATACTTAAACAAAATGGTCTAGATTTTTCACCTGGAGGCATTAAAATCATGCACAGAGCCCTTGGCTGACTTCAGCATCCTTAAGTCAAGGGATAGAGATGAAATGTTGAAGGTAGGCTACGCCAAGGCAGCATGCGCTTCACTACCAGTGATCAGCAAACACAGGACTGTCTAAAGAATCCAGCCTGGTTTGCTACACTTTTCTGACCTAAGCAATCCCAAGTAAGCCTCTGGGGTGTGAGGAAGAAAGAGCAGCAACCCCCCACCCCCACCCCCGCACCTGCGTTGCAGGCTGATGCAACAGCCCTTTACCTTGACCACCGTCTCGGGCATAGACTCATAGCTCAGGCTTGGAAGTGGCTGGCAACTCTCCCGACTTCATGATTTACCCACCTGTTGCCTTTGGGAAACCTTCTGAGCACACTACGTGCACCCCGAGAACCTGGCTCAGCAGCCAGACGGGGACTGGGTTACAAACAGACAGTGATTTTGGCCTTTCTAGTTCATGAAAACTGACCACATGAGCTTCAGAGAAAGGCACAGGCACTGTCCTGTTTGATTTTATTCCCCCGAGGCTGGCTAGCAATGGATTCCCCGAAGTGTCTGCCTGCCCACCTTGTCGGATGATGGTGGCTGGCTCCCCACCGTGCAGGCTGGCTCTCCCAATGGAAGGTTCGCTGATGTCCGTCCAGTAAATCATCTTGTCCACGCAGTCAAAGGCCAGTCCAATGATGACTTTCGCCTGGAAGTGAAGACCAGTGGTGAGAACGTTCACCCTAGCATCCGAGTTAATAGAAGATGGCTGGATAAAGAGGTGGGAAAAAAGACTTCTAACCTGACCTACACCACAGGCAAAATTCAGGTCCAAAACAAGAAACTCCTAGAAGAAATCATTCAACAACATCTCCACACGCTTCCAAATGAACTCACCCCTGAGGCCAAGCTTGCAGGACAGACAGGGCAGCTCCGCAGGGAACTCCCAGTCGTAGGACTGAACTTCTAAATTGTTACAGCAGATTGTAAATGTGAAAGCTATAAACCTACACTATATTTAGATCTAGGTTATAGGTTAAATTAAATAATAAGTTTGTATTATATATTATATTTATTTTCTTACATATGTAGCTATCAACTAATTAGGTAGTCTCTGAAAACAAGACAGCTCTGTGTACCTGTGGGTGGACATGACAGCAGAAGGCACCATGACCAATGGCTCTGGCCCCACCTCTGGGTCCCTCTCACCGTATCCATGCTCATCGGCTTCTCTAGCCCCCATCTTAGAAAAGAAGGAACATTTCCTGCAGTAACACACTGAGACTCCCTTTCCACACCAATTCTTACAAAAAGAAAGCGTAAAAGGATCAGAGGAAACAGCTGAGTAGTTTTTTGCACATGTGATTTGAGTTTAACAGAAATCTATTGGGCCACTCTTGTGTTTGAAGAGCCACCAGGAGCTAGACATTGGAGTAAGCCACCTCTCCTCGGAAGAGGTGAATCTGTTCAGAAGACACCTTCAAGAGGCTGAGCAAGAAGCCTGGTCTCTGATACCTGTCAGCTTCCTATCTCCACCACTGACCAGGTGATGTCTGATCCCCCAGACATCTACAGCAAGAACCTTGCTAGGTCAGTTTAGCCAGAGTCCCCCTCACCCTGATGTTTCCTCTTAGTGATTTTCTCCTCTCTGATCCTCATGCTGCTCCTTGGCTATAAATTCCCACCTGTCCAAGCTGTGTTCAGAGTTGAGCCCAATCTCCTCCTCATGGCAAGACCTGGTTGAGTGGTCCCTACGCCTATTGAGATGGTCCTGAAAAAGTCTTTTTTATCATGCTTTATTGAATATTAATACATATTTTTTTCTTAACATCATCAGTTACGATGAACTATAGTGATATTTAGCAAGACTCCATCCCAGTAAGGACACCCAGTAAATTAAATTGTCCGAAGCCTCAAAATAAGCCCTTTCCCCACAGGTTGTTTTGGTAAAGCCTAGTTCAGATCTTTTGCAAATTTAAGTATTTAAAAGCTAGGTATTTGCATAAAATTTAGCCACTGGGAGAACCAGGTGAAGGGTACACAGGACCTCTCTAAACAATCTTTTGATCTTCCTATGCTTCTATAAAAATTTTCAAATAAAAAATCAAAAACAAAACAAGGACACAAACTTGATCAAAGAGCAAGAACTTCATCTCTAGGTATTGCTCTTGAGAGGCCTGGGAAGGAGCTGGCAGCCTGAGTGATCTCAGCCCATAATGAGGTCAGGCTCTGTCTGAAGCCTGGGAACAATGAATTATGCAGGTACAGGAAACTCTGGGGTGGGTGCTTGGTTGTGGACACAGGACACAGGCCAGGCAAAGGCTCGGGAGGGAGGCTCTGAAGACGAGGATGACCTTTCACTGGGAAAATTAAGGTTATCAGCACATACTTCCCCTGTAGAGGTCAGGGCAAAGGGACAGTGACCCCTACCTCACACCACATAGAAAAATAAACCCCAAACAGATCGAAGGCCTAAACTTCAAAGCTAAAACTATAACATACTTAGAAGAAAATACAAGGGAAAAGCCTTGTGATGTTAGACCCGCCCGGCAAATTTGTTGAATATGACACCAAAAGCACAGACAACAGAAGAAAAACTAGATTAATTAGACAAAATCAAAATGTAAAATTCTGTGCTCTATAGGATACAATCAATAGCGTGAAAGGGCGACTCCTGGAATGGGAGAAAATATCAGCAAAACATATATTTTATAAGGGGTTAATTGCCAGAAAAAGTATATGTGTGTGTGTGTATGTGTATACACACACACGTGTGCGTGCATGTATGCACATGTGTACATATATGTATCACGTGTGTATATACATGTATACATATATACATATATAAACACACACACACACATATATATATATATATAAACTCCTACAATTAACTCAATGACAAAAATCTGATTTTTAAAAATGGGCAAAGGACTTGAATGGACATTTCTCAAAAGCAGTTATATGAATGGCCGATAAGCACCTGATAATGTGCTCACCACCACTAATCATTAAATCAACCATAATATGATGGCGCTTGCACTCAACAGGATAGCAATTATCACAGGAAAGACAAGCAGGAAATAGCAAGTATTGGTAAGGACGTGGATAATCTCAAACTCTGTGCTCTGCTGGTGGGGATGTGAAGTGGCACAACCACTGTGGAGCACACATGGCAGTCCCTCAAAACATCAAACGCAGGGTTAGCACGGGAGCCAGCAGTTCCACTTGTAGGTATAGAGCCAAAGACAGAAGGAGAGGCTCAAACAGGTCTTTTTTTACCTGTATTCACAGCAGCAAGATTCACCACAGCCAGAAGGAGGCAGCAACCCAAGCGTCCATCGACAGAAGAGCAGATAATGAAAATGTGGTACGTACATGGGAGGGATATTGCTCAGCCTGGACGTTCTGACACACGCTACAATGTGGATAAACTCTGAGGACAGTATGCTGAGCAAAAGGAGTCAGACACACACAAAAACAAGTACAGTGTGGTTCTACTCATGTAAGAACTTAGAGGAGTCCAGTAGTTAGGGACAAAAAGTAAAACGGTGGCTGCTAGGTCGGGCGGGGTGTGGGGATGAGGAGTTGGGCGTAGTGGGTAGAGTCCCAGTTGGGCAGATGGAGAAAGCTCTGTAGATGACGGAGGTGACAGCTGCATGACTCAGCACATCCTCTCCCCTGGGTCCTGGGAGAAATGACTTCACAGGAGTCCCACCCATTCCCACTCCCCGGGAGCGTGGGCTGGAGGGGACTGAGACGGAACCCAGAGGGTCTGTCTCCATTGGGGCAACTGGAGAACACAGGGTCGTTCACAGGGTCACTCATGCATCTGTCCAGCAGATGCTTCTGCCCTGTCCTGTGGTGCAGATGCTGTTGGGAAGACAGACACCAGATACTAAATATCCAGTGTCAAGTAGCATGAAAGAGAGAAAGGGCAGTGTAGGTGGCTATCTGGACGTGGGGACAGGACAGGCCTGAGAGGGGATGTTGGGGCATAAGTTTGCATGAAGAGTGAGGCAGCAAGCTGTGCAAGGGCTAGTGGTGAGGAAACTCCAGGCAGGGAACAGCCAGTGCAAGGGCCCTGGGGTGGGAGCGTGCGTGGCCTGACTGAGCACTAGCCAGGGGGCCAGAGCCACTGAGTGCAGATAGTAGTAGGAAGTGGGGCAGGAGAGGAAGCCGGAGGGCAGCTCCTGCCTAATGGAAAAACCCCCAACCTACAAAATGTACTTTGAAGCTCTGAAAAGCCTCTGGGCAGAGCTTGCTCCTGCCTCAGGGCAGATGTGAGGACCTTGATTGAGAAGCCCCTGGGAGGTGAGTGACCACAGATTCAGGAGGAGCACGAAGGTCTAACCCAGCAGCAGCACAGAGACCATTCACCAACTCACAGGAAGCCCCAGGCAAGGCGTCTTTGGAAGGCTGGCTGTGTCTGACTCTGTCTCACTGTGAGCCTCTCGGCTAGCTGGGCAATGGGGGGCCCCAGTGAGGTGAGCACTCAGGCCCCATGGAGGGGGTGCCTGGCTCCAGGGGCCAAGCCAGGGGTCCTGGTCTGGCTGCTCTGCTCGTTTCTCTGGGGCATGGGAGCAGGAGCTGCCACCAGGCCCAGAGGCTGGCACTCACCGGGATGTGAAGCAGCGCCTTGGCTTCCGTCTTCCTCATGGTGCTGCCCTCCAGGGGCAGGCGCTCGATCTTCCCAGTCTGGGCAAAGAGCAAGTGGGTCCCAGGGGGCAGGGGGATGACGGCTGTAGGCACCAAGGGTCTCTGGGGAACGGGGGGAGCCACTGTACTCAGACCTGGGGAACAGGACAGTCAATGAGCAAGGCTGTACACACGGGAGATGCACAGGTGCACACGTACATGCTCACAGGTGCACACACATAAACAATTCACATGCACACACATGCACACACCTACACAGACACATGCACACACATATGAACACACCTACACAGACACATGCATACACACAAGCACACCTACAGACACATGCACACACACGCGAGCACACCTACACAGACACATGCACACACCCACACAGGCACCCACATGCCAGGTCACGTCACCTTTCTGGCACCACAAGATGCACAGCCATACAGGGCTCATTTTCCCTCTGCAAGCTCCAAAGCAGGAGGCCTGCAGTCAACACGAGGGTGTTGGTGACGATGAGGCAGCACATGAGTTGGGCATTCCAGGTGCAGGGGGAAGTGGCTAGCCTCCTTCTGACAGAAAGGACTGGGCTATTCCTCTGTCACTGGACACCGGCTGCAGTGGTGAGGCACAGCAGCCGGAAATCCCTGCTGAAGGGAGTTGCCTTCCCCTGGGTGCTGCTGAGTCCTTTACTGCCCATCAGAAGCCCCTTCCTATGGCATGGGACAGGGCACCCCAAGACCAGCACCCAGGGGCTCAGCCTGGCCACAGAGGCCTTCCTCTCCCTATGCTGCTCACTCCTGGCCCTGCTCAAAGCTATGGTTTATGAGGTGCTGCTTTGCGAGGCCTCCCCATCAGCCCACCGTGCACACCAGGACCCCTGTGGGCTCTCCTCCCGGCCCTGTTCCTGTCTGGTCTCTGCCCTTGGGTTCCGGGGGTGGCACCATGACTTTCCTTGGCATCCCCCCACACTGCCACCCACTCTGTGTTGGCTGAGTGAAACGTGGAGTTGTGACAATCGCTTTGCTGTTTCTTAGCAGCTGTGGAGAAACATCTGGTGGGGGATCAATCTAGGATCACTAGCTACACTGAGTGTGGAGATCCAAAATTCGTTATCTTGGCTTTTGGTGACTTGTGACAGTGACCAATTTCCACATTTATGGCAGAGGCAGACCCTTAGAGCTGGGAAATGTCCTTGCTCATCCCTCAAGCTAAGGCCGAGGTCTGAGTCTGGGGCAGGAGTCTGCCCAGGGCCCCACAGCCCTGCTGGGCCTCGGGCCCCCTGGAGCCTTTGTGGTGAGGAGGGTTCAGAGCCAGCTTGCACCACCTGTGGGGCTGCCTGCCCCATGGGCTGAAGGGTGGCCTGAAGGGTGGCCTGGGCACCTCAAGGCCCTCAGGCACAACTGTGAAGGAGGGAACAAACCCCACCACCAGGGGCGGTTCCTGCCTTCCCTGCCGTCCCCTTGCCCAGACAGCCCAAGGCCAGGCCTCCCACACACCCTCTCTGCCACCACCTCAGGACCCATGCCACAGGCCCCGGTGGACATTCAGAGAAGGAAGAGAAGTGGTAGGAGGGTGGGGTGAGGCCAGGGCGGGTGACAGCAGCCCCACAGGCACTCCTTCTGGTCGCTAGCTGGGCAACCCTGTGTCCACTTACATGGGGGCATCATCCCGGGTCTGGTCCTGGTGCCCTCCAACTCACGGCCATCCCGGTCCACGCACCAGCAATAGCCAGTGCTGCCGTGGCATTGCGTGGGCGCGTAGTGCCCGTGCTCGTCACACTCGGGGACAAACAGCCCAGGGAGCCTGGGCCTCTGCGCGTCGGCTGCTCCCGCGGCTCCTAGAATGTGCTCTCGCTCCTGCTGACACCGGGTTTTCTCTGCCTCTGTCGGGAAGACAGCAAAAGGGGCCATCAGCTGGGGTGTGTCGGGGGGGGGGGGGCACCCGAGGGCAGCCTCCCCTTGTGGATAGGTTTCATTCTGTCCATTTTTAAAAAAATAAAAGATCACTCTTATTTAATTTATGTAACTATCAATAATCTATTTATATTTCCTTTTCTCTCCTAAGCAATTTTTGGAAATTTTTAAAAATTGGGGCAAAGATAAAATGAACCCTTTTCAAATGTCAGTGGCACATTTGGTACCTTCTCAGGGCCATGCAACCACCTGAGCCCAGCAGCAGCTGCTCCCATCCCCTCCTCCCAGGCCTCGTCCAGTCTGGAGTCTGGCCCTTCTCTTGGTGAAGGTCTTCAAGGTTATCCCGTCCTACCTTGGGTCAGTCCTGCCCTCCCTGATGGCTGGCTGGGTGACATCTCTGGTCTGGCTATGCCACATTTTGTCTGTCTATCCATTGACGGACATCACTGGGTTCTAAGGAATTTTAAGTTTTTCTTAAATGTGTCCTTTGACCCCACAAGCTTTTGGCTGACTCATGTTGACTCAAAGCCAAAGAGTTGGGAAATTAAAAACCAGAATGTCCACCAACAGGGACCTGGCCTGTGTTTGGCTTGACACTTGGCCTCTGAATGGTGCAACTCAGACCCCAAGGCAAGGGAAAAGTTCTAAGTATTTCCCGGAACAAATAACTTCCAGGCACACAGAGCTGTAGCTGGCTCCACACTTGCTGGAACCCAGTCAAGCCACACGAGGACCAGGCCAAACAGGCCACTTGCGCAGTGCTGACCACATAAAACCAGGCCCCTAATCTCTATGCTGCTGATTACCAAGAGCTGCATTGGCCAATGTCTGGCTGCCCCTCCCCTGAGGGCCTCCCCTCCCCTGCCAGGTAACCCCTCAGAAACCCATTCAGGCATCCTTTAGGAAGCCCCCTTGGCCCCTGGTGAACTCCGGGGCCCCCGGCTCACTAGCTCTGTAGCTCTCCTCACACCACCCCAGGGCTGGTCCTTCCCTGACTCCTGAGCAGACTCTAGGCTCTGAGAGGCGTGACCCACTCTCCTCCACCTCGGGAGGGGCGCCTACAGGACTGGGCTATGCTGAAGACCCACACCCACCCTGGCTAGAGGGAAGCCACAGGGGCACACTAGCAATCCTGGAGCGAGGGTCTAGACGAGGAGCCCAGTATATGGTGGACACGCAGAAGACTCTCCACAGGGCAGGAGAAAAGGAGGGCACACACCTCCCAATGACTAGAGGGCAAGACAGCTCTGGGGCAGGGCGTGGCCGACTCTGCCCAGTAAATATTTTCAGCTTTGTGGAGGATGCACACACTCCCCATCACAACCACGCAACTTTGTGGTTGTAGCACGAAAGCAGCCACGTTTAATACACAAATGAGGGGCTGTGGCTGTGTTCCAATAAAACTGTATTCATAGCAAAGCATGGGCCACAGATTTGCCTGATAAGGACAGTGGCTGATGCCCCCTGTTCTAGGGCCTTGCTTGTTATGTTGGGGGAAATTAAAAGTAGGTGTGAATTAATATACATTAATTAATGAAATGTGTGGTAATAACCTATGCTAAAGGCTGCGTATTCACAGACTTGTGCCTGAGAGTATTCTGGTTCCCAGGTCACTACTCCCGGGTTACCCTCCCTCTGCTGTAGAACAGAGACGGCAGTAGCACTAACGTCCCAGGACTGGTATGAGAAGTAAATGAAGGACAGTGCTGTGGCTTGAAAGTGCCCCCAACATTCTCCTGCTGGAAACTGGGTCCCCAGCACAACTGCGGTGGGAGGTGCCGACACCCCGAGGGCTATGTCTGAACAGATGGATTAGTGTTGTCAGAGGGGTCCTGATTAAAGGACGGAGTTCGGACCTGCTCCCTGCCCTCTCCCTCCCATGGGATGCCGTCTGCATGTTATGCCGTCTGCATGTTATGACGTGGCAAAAGGGCCCCTCACTGGTTGACCTTGGACTTCCCAGCCTCCAGAACTGTGAGCCAAATAAATTTCTCTTTCTTATAAATCACCCAGCCTCAGCTCCTGCTCCAGCAGAAAACAGGCTTAGACAACAAGACGACACACACAATCGGAATTTTAGGCTCTGCCTCCAAATGTTCATCTGTGACTGAACCCACACAGGCAGACACAGTGACATTAAGTGGATGAGCTGCCAATCAATGTTTAACGTGCCTTCGGTCTAGGCTGCCAGTCTTTAGGTTGGCCGGCTCAACACAACTGCTCCCTTGATTAGAAGCAGGTTGCTTGCCGAGAATGTGTGTGGAACCTGGCAAGAAGAAACTGCTTTTCTTTTGTACCAGAGGCTACTATAAAAAAAACAAAATGAGGGCTGGGGATGTGGCTCAAGCGGTAGCGCGCTCGCCTGGCATGCGTGCGCCCGGGTTCGATCCTCAGCACCACATACAAAGAAAGATGTTGTGTCCGCCAAAAACTAAAAATAAATGTTAAAATTCTCTCTCTCTCTCTAATAATAATAATAATAATAATAATAATAATAATAATAATAATAAAAAGTTCTATGCATGGCATGGGAGACCATCAGTTTAAAAAAACAAAACAACAACAACAAAAAAATGAAACCCTGGATGTAGGAAGGGCCAAGGAGATGAATGAGCCACTTGGGTTAGAACAAGAATGGCGGTTTCCCTGTGCTCTCTGACATCCAATGTGTTTATTTTCTCAAAACCTTACATTCCCACGGGGCCTTACAGTTTCTGCCTTAGCTGCCCCATACCATAGACATTTTATTTAGTTCCATTACAATCCTATGTGATAGGCAACTGTGGTTTCGTTTTGTTTGCAGTGTGGTGATTGAGCGCAGGGATGCTCCACCACTGAGCTACACCCCCAGTTCTTTCTGTCTGATTATTATTTGTTGTGGTTTGTTTTTTAAATTTTGAGACAGGGTCTTGCTAAATTACCTGGATGGCTCCTAACTTGCCATCCTCCTGCCACGGCCTCCTGAGTAGCTGGGATTGCGGGCTCACGCCACCACACCCCAAGACAACTGAGTTTTTACATTAAAGGAGAAACCTGCAACTCAACATGCTAACAGGCTCCCTGAGGCCCAGGCATGGGTAAGTGGTTGGGCTCTAACTAGAATCTCTGGATTCCTGGTCCAGGCCCCGTTCCTTCCGGCCTTGAATTTCTACATCTGTGCCCCAGGATGGCCGACACGCACTCACTGTCACGCCAACAACGATGGCACACATGGCCCCAGGGCACTCACTGAGGTCATCTGAGGGCTTAGACAGATTCTCCTCTTATCAACATCTCCACATGCTGCTGTTCCAGCACAGACGTTCTGTGTAAACCTGGAGTTTGACACAGGAGATCTCAAGTGATCTGGAGCTGGCAGCAAAACTCTTAATTGTGTCTTCAACTTACCCAGAGGGGGAAACCCCATTCTGACCTAGGAAATGGGATTTCAGGTGTGTTTATCAAGCTGTGACCTCAGTGGGTTTCCTGGATGGTTCCTCAGCCTGCCAGGGGCTGTGGCTTCCATCAGGGTCGGTGGGTGGGGAGGCCGGAAGATGCTTCTCCTGCACTGGCTTCTCGTTGGGAAAATGAAAACTCAGGCAGGCTTCTTCTCACCCTCTGAGAAGTGGCTGAGCCACTCAAGACCTGATACATACCTGAGGAAGGGTAGGAAGTCTAGGGGGGCTTTTCCTGTGGTGAGGACCAGGAGAATGAAAGCCAAGGAAAACCAAGGAGAAGGAGAAGTGAGGAGGAAGCCCTTCTTGACCTCTGGTTTTGCATTCCATGCCCCCCGTGGGATTCAGTTTGTCTCTATCAAATAAATGGCCATCACAAGCCAGGTGTAGAGGTGCACACCTGTAATCTCAGCAGCTCGGGAGGCTGAGGCAGGAGGATCTTGAGTTCAAAGCCAGCCTCAGCAACTTAGCAAAGCCCTAAGCAACTCAGCGAGACCCTTTCTCAAAAGAAAATATTAAAAGAGCTAGGGATGTGGCTCAGTGGTTGAGCACCTTTGGGTTCCATCCCTGGAACCAAAAAGAAAAAAGAAAAAGAGGCCATCGCAGAAGGAAGCCGAGCCTCTCTGATGGGGAGAACTCAAAGTGGTCTGAAGAAGTTCCGTTTACTGGGGCTCTTCCTGCACAGAAGTGGAGGAAAGCCCTTGAAGCCGGGAGGAAAGCACATGCCCTGGAGCCTGAGTTGTCTCTTGCGCTGTGCGAAGTGCCCTGTCAGCTTTCCTCACCACCTCTGGAAGAAGCTTCTTCTCCGTCCTCTCCTAAAACCCTCGCCCGTCATGTTTTAAATCACTGCATTCATTGAACTTCCCAGACCCTTGAACCACTTGTCCCCTTTATTGTGATAAAAGCACTCCTGGGAAGCTGCCATGAGCCAGGCGCCCCCAGACAGAGGGTCTATAGCTGAACAGGTGGCTGCAGAGTTCACAGGCCAGAGGGGAAGGCCAGGCTCCTGCTCAGGGGACCACAGGGGGAGAAGGCCACCACGGGACCAAAGGGAAAGAGAAGCTCATCCATCCCCAGTAAGGGCTCGTCTGACCTTCAGGGTGACAATCTGTGGTGTCCCCATGTGTGTGAGGCCTGGTGCAGTAGCCGACTGGCAGAAGGCTGGGGGCTTCCAGGTCTAAGAATCAGGAGGCAAGAGATCCAGGGCCCTGGTAAGCTTGGTCGCCACAATGCTGACCTGGCTCCCAGCTGCTGAGCCAAGAGCCAGAACATCAGTCCCTGGCGAGAAGCGGCTGCAGTGTACTGGGGGGGGGGGGGGGCGGCCGGGGGGGGGGGGCGCGTGGGCTACAACACAACCTGTGGCCAAATGGAGCCCAACCTGCAGGCTGGGGTCCTAAGGCACTCTGAGCCAAGGTACGCTGACCTGTCACCTTGCAGCAGCCAGGCCTGGGTACGGTACAGACCCTGCGGCAGAAGCCTACTCCATGCAGCGCTGCAGCCCAGAATCTGCAAGAACAGACCACCCTAGGACCTCAACCTTTGTCTTCCTGACTTGGGCAGAAAAGGTGGGTGGAGCAGACCCGAATGGAAAGCAAGACTCAAGAACTGACCAATAGTGTTTGTATCTTTCCAAACCCTAATTAGCATTAGTTTGGATCAATAGCATTAGTACTTCTTCCAAACCCTAATTAACATTAGTTTGGACCAATAGCATGGAACCAAATACCATATAAAACCCTAGACCAGCACACTGGGAGAAAACCTGCTACTGAGTTCTCTTTAAATGGCATAAGAGTTTTAGTTTGGGTTTTATTCTTCAATAAATCTTACTCTTACACTCCCTCATCCTGCTCTATGGATTTTATTCTTTGAATTCACAAGACAAGAACCTGGAAAAAAGTTGATGATGAGATGCTAAGGCCTGCTATGGTACCAGGAACCTAGCCCATTGTTAAGAGCTACAACACCTCTTGGCTACAGAGGCTGCAAACTGTGCTCCACCCCACTGCCTGCAGGAGCGGAGAAACTCCAGTCTTACTGGCCAGTGGAAGTGAGAAATCAAATTTCACCTCAAAACTCCAGTTTCAATGCTTCCACAGTTTTGGTTAGAGGAGATTCAAGGTGAAGAACAATGGAGAACCCCCCTAGCCCAAGGAGAAGCCCAAGGCTCAGCGATGACACTGCTGAGCCTGTTTGGAAATGAGGCCACCTGAGAGCTCCAAGGAGAGGCTGTGCTTTGCAAACCCAAGAGCACCAAGGCTGGGGAGGCTCTCCAGCTCAGAGGGCCCTGGCTGGGTCCTCCACGACCTTCCCTCCCTGCCTGCCCCACCGCATCTCCGCATTATTCCTCCACACTCTACCCGTCCTTCAAGGCTGTGTGCAAGTCTTTCTCTCCTCTGCTTTCCCCAGCATTTCTAGCCCACCCAGCCACTAGTCACCACTGACAGATTCTCTACTTTCAAGTGCTCCTTTTTCCTGCCAGGTACACCCCTCCAGGGCAGAGGCATTCCTACTCCTGTGCTGAGTACAACAGCAGGCCCACAGGAAGTGCTTCCACAGTACTTAACTATGCAACCAGATAGCTGAGGGCCTTGGGCAAATTAGCTAGCCTGGCTAAATCCTCATACTCTTATCCATTCAACCAGCAGCTTTGATCAAGAGTGACAAAGCAGCCCATTGATGCAGAGAACTCAGGTGTGGTGCCTTGGACACCAAACGCAAGAACTATTTCAGGAAGGATGGTGAGGCCAACTGCCCAGTGCTGCCAATAAAAGTGGACCTGAGCTCCAGTGAGTGAGGGTTGTCTCTGACTTGTACAGGAGCAAGCACGGGAGACTCAGAAAAAGGCAGCAGCCTAGATTTAGAATCTGGTTACAGATAAGGGAACTCGATAAAGCCTGTAAATCACATGTACAAAGAAACAAGGTGCCAAGGTAGCAGCCCTGTGAGCTCTGAAACACAAACAGGTGAGGAACACCACCAGTGGCCACAAGGCCCACCTGTTATCAGTGTCTGGGTGACAGAAAGCAAAGGGAAGCACCAAAGCATGCAGGAGTCCTGGGAGCAGGCAGGCTTCAAAGAGGTGTACCCTGAAAAGCACAGCAGGCCTGTTTAAACACAGATCTAAGAAGTCCCTCAAGCCTCATTCCCTTAAGATAAAGGGAATGGACAACAGAGTTTCTAGAGCCCCTTCCAGATCCAACTAGGAAATCCCACTTTTCTCACATTGGAGTTGCCTGAAACACGGTGAAAACTGCCCCCCACCACAGAAGCCCAAGAAACAGAAAGCACGGAATTGTTTGTCAGTTTTCTTTCCTTTGAGCTGTACTGTGCTGCCTGTTCTCATCTCTGCTGGCGGCCCTACCTTCTGAACCCTTCATTATCTTCCTCTCTAGATGTGTGGTGTGGATCGCCAGGCAGGGCGCCCAGAGGCAGAACAGAGCCAGGATGCAGAGAGTGATCTGTCGGAGGCCTGGTGTCTGCCCAGGGAACAGGCTTTAGTCTGCAGCCCAGGACTTTTATGCTCCTCTTTGATCCTCTACTAAACTCCTAAGTTACTAAAGCCTCGCCAGTGACACTCCCTCTGATGTCCAGGAAAGGTTAGAGGCGGTGGCAGCTGGCCTCCAAGATGGCTTCCCTTCTCCCCTCTTGGCAATCCCCTCTCACACTCTAAGAGCATTGGCCTGAGACACCAGCACCAGCAGAGTGACAGAAGGTCACTTCCCAAAGTAAAGACTGTGGCTTCGACCTCAGCCCCCACCATGTTTTGCTCATCATTTGCCCTGGAGGGAGCCAGCTGTTTGGTCTTAAAGACCTTGAAGAAGGAGGCAGCCCTGTGGAGAGAGCAGGCCGAGGCTGCCAATGGCTGCATGAGTCCTTCAGTGCAGATC